CTCGATCCCAGAACCCTGGGATCATGACCTGAGCCGAAGGCAGACGCTTAACGACTGAGCCACCCAGGTGCCCCTGATTAATTGATTTATAATATTTTAAAATCACGGTCAAGCATATAAATTTCTCTTGATAACATACCATACATGTCAAATTTTGGCTCTTACCTTTATTTCTAATGTACCACCAAAGCCCATTTTAAACTGTCCATGCATATCTTTGGTAAAGACTCTTTGAAAAGTCTGCTTGAATAAGGAAGTGTTGAAAGAGTCACCCATTACCATGTATCCTCTGCATGGAAAGAAAAATAATGTATGTGACACAAGTACTGGGTCCATGTGTTAAAACCAGAAAAGTAAATTACCTTTCAATACTACCAACAAATTTTAAAGATACTTTTCAAAATGTGCTATATTACTATTAACTTTAAAAACTCAAATATATGAGACTATCCTCACCCCACAAATTATCTCAATCCTGAGGGTATCTGAGTGTCCCTAACATTTGCATTTGTCCTTGGTAATTTACTAACGTTATTTTATAAATAGATAATACAGCCACACATTACAAAATTCAAAAGGTACAAAATGGTAATCTTAAAAACAAATATATATCTGTGTATGTATATATTTGCATATACTGCCTCTGCGTATATCACATCAAACTTAACAGGATCACACCCAGTGAATGAGAAAAGGAGACTGAAGGGCCATTTTCACTTTAAGCACTAATGTACTGCTTGATTTTTTTCAGTAAGCATATACCTATTTTAACTTTTTTTTAAGTTTAAAAAAACATTAATGGTCAAATAAAAACAATTCTGAGGTGCCATTTTATTCTAATAGATCTGCAAAACTCACAGTTTGACAACATATTCTGTTGATGAGGCTGTGGAAACAGATGGGAGTGCAAAATGATGCAACCTGAATGCAGGGGAATTTAACAATATCTAACACAATTACCTATGTGTTTTCTCTTTAATCTAGCCAACCCACTATTGGGAATCCATCCCAAAGATATTCTGGAAAACAAAAACAAAAAGCAGAATATATACACAAGGGTATTCACTACTTCTAGTAATAAAAAATTGGAAACAATCCAGATAATAATCCAGATGATCATCTATTAGAGACTAGTTCAATAAAATATGGCACATCCACCCAATGAGGTAATATACTGCTACAGACCACTTTCTAGGGTATAAGTGAAAATGCAAAGTTGGTAAAGTTATGTAGAATTTTCTGCTGCTCATACAAAAAGGAGATACATATACCCATACACTCACATGCATACAAATATTTACATATATTTGCTCATATTTTTAAAATATTTTAGGTAGCTTTTAAACAAAATACAATCAAAAATTAAAATAGGCAAAAGAATAAAGCCGATATGGCATAATTAATGGTAATTTTATTTTTGATACTGTGAAACTCTTGATTTATGTTATCTCTGATGCTATTATATATCTTGTTTTTAAAGATTTTATTTATTTAGTTGAGAGAGAGAGCAAGCTAGGGGAGAGGCAGATGGAGAGGGAGAAACAGACTCCCCTCTGAGCAGGAATCCTGACATGAGGCTCGGATCCCAGGACCCTGGGATCATGACCCAAGCCGAAGGCAGACACTTTAAACTGACTGAGCCACACAGGCGCCCCTATATTTTTGTAAATGTTTTCTGTTTGTCACCAGTATACAAAAATATAGTTGAATTTTGTACACTAACCTTGATCTAGAAGTCTTGAAAACTTAACATATTAATTCCAACAGTAGCATATAAATTCTTTCAGACTTTCTACTTTTACAAACATGTCATCTATGATGATCTATATGATCACTAAACCTGGTAATGCATACTACATTAAAGACAACTTACACCACCCCACTTATCTGTTCCCTTTTATAGCAAACCTCTATGAAAGAGTTGTCCAAACCCTTACTACTCAGTGTGGCCCTTGGCCCAGCAACATTAGCATCACCAAGGATCTTGTCTGAAAAGCAGAATTCCAAGTCCCATCCTATGCACAGTAAATCCAGAACCTGTACTTTATAACAAGATACCCAGCTGATCTGCATATGTGAAAGTTTGAAAAGTTGTAATCTATACCAGCTGTTTCCAATCCCCCCTTCCTATTCTTCTTCTAGGTCACTTTAAGTCAACATTCACTGATGACCTTTGCAGTGTTAAATTGCAAAATCTTACAATCTCATCCATTTTTACTGCTATTTAAAAAAAAAAAAACCACACCAATATTGTGACAGCTCCCACATTTTTATCCCCAGCCCAAACCTATCTCCTGCACTCTATGTTGTAATATCCAACTGCCTACTCAACACCTCCTCATGGATGTCAAATAGCATCTTAAACCAAACATGTTCAGAACTGAACTCCTAGTCTTCTCCCCAAATACTCTTCTTTCCACAGGCTTACCCATTTCAATAAAGGGCAATCCTTCCAGTAGACTTCCTTTGGTTTTCCCAAATCCCAGATCCAATCTATCAGCAAATCTTCTACCTTCTAAATACACCCAAAACCCAACCACTTCTCAGCCACCACTTGGTATTCCTGTATCCCTATACAGACTCTATGTAGACAACTGATGTCAGATGGTCCCTTTAAAACATTACATCAGACCATATCACTCCTCCACTGAAAACTCTCCAACGACTTCCCATCTCACTCAAAGAAAAATCCAAAGCCCTTACAATAGTCAAAAGACCCTCACAATCTGTCCTTCTCACTCACCCCACTCCAGCTACAAATCCAACACCCTATGATGAAAAAAATCTCAACTAAGGACAGAAAATTCTTCAACCTGATAAAGGCATCTACAAAAACCCACAGCTAACATCACACTTAATGGTGAAAAATGAAATGGTTTCCCCCTAAGATCAAGAACAGGCAAATCTATAGACAGTAGATTAGTGGTCTAGGCTGAGAGAGGGGGAGAGGGAGAAGAAGGAAGCAGGAAAGGGGAATGACTGCTAATGGGTACAGAGTTACTTTCTGGGGTAATGTTAATGTTCTAAAACGAAATCTGGTGATGGTCACTTGACCTGTGAATATACCAAAAACAAAACATTGAACTGTAAGCTTTAAATGGGAAATTTTATCATGTGCAAATTATATCTCAAAAAGCTACTACAATAATAAAACAATGAATGCACGATATCAAGACAAGCTTTTCAAACAGAACTTGTGCCTTTATAACTGAATTTTAGAAAAAATTTAAAGTGAGCTTTACTGAAAGGAGTATCAAAAACTGTTAATAGTTGTCCTGGAGTGGTAGGACGACGACTGTTTTTCTTAAACTGCCATTATTGGTTTATATTTGTAAACTGTAATTATCAGTCTATAATTGCAAAAACTGTAAAAACTATAAATACATACCCAGTAAGGTTGGGACAACATTTCATCTCCAGGAGACCTGTCTGATCTAATGCACAGGCATAGATATCAATAACATGGCCAGTCGTAGCAGCTCGATTAGCCAATGCTTCAAAATGCTATAAAAGATTTTTTAAAATCAAATCAAATCAAAGTAATGTGCAAACGTAACCATCCTATAAATCATTTTTCCCATAAAGAGATCAAAATAACCTAAAAAATACTAAAAGAATAATCATAATAATTTAAATGTGATTATGTTGTAATTTAATTTTCTATAATAAAAAATTTCTCTTTTTACAGTAACTTCTATAAGCCTGACACTTGCACATTTTGAAAGCATTCTTTCTAAATATACTCCTAAATGAAGCTAACCTTGGAGAAAAGGAGCAAACATCTTGCTCTTCATACATGAACATAGTAGAACAACACAGAACTGTTTTTCCTGAGTAAATCCACATCCAGGTAACAAAAACATCAAATATAGAAAAATAGTAATAAAAGCTATTAGATAAACAAATAAAAAAATACTTTTTGAAGCTCTAAGAAAAATTCCAAACTCAAAAGGGAAATTAGGTAGCAGGAAAAAAGCATCCAGTAATAGTGACAAGAATTATGTTATTAATTACACTTTTAAATATATATAATGACTACCAAAAAGAAATAAGAGATAATACAGCACAACTAAACTAAAATTGTGAACTCCAGAGAATTTTTTTTTTTTTAAAGGGACATTAACAGCGGAACCAATTCAAGGGAGTCAAGAGTCAAAAGTGAAAATGTATTGCCATGAACCCAAATAAAATTGAAATAACATGAACAGAAAACAACTCACAAGAAAATGATGGACTATCCATGCTATGAAAAATATATGTATCTACAAGACAGCCTCTTGGAAACAAAAAATTGGAAAACGCAAGAAATTTTTCCAAAGCAGGAAAGATATTCTTTTAAATGAATATTTAAAAAGCACACAGAACTTCTCTCTGGAATAATCTTTAAAGAGATACCTATTGGTGCTATTAAGCCTTTAAATATTTAAAACCAGAAAAATTACCAAGGGAAAAAAAAAACTATTTCTCCAATTCTGAATAATAGTTACAATATCAGACTTTGCAATGTTGGATTTCTTATCATCAAATGTTTGTATTCTTCCTCTTTCATCAAATGAATTTGTCTACTAAAACAAAAAGACTTAAAAACCAAAATTACCTTAGTTCCCTTTTTAACATATTTGGCATTGTCTTTTTCAATGTCATGCCATGATCTTATAGGTGTCTTCAATTCATCTCCAACCACCATTCCAGGCCCCTGAGTGGCTGGACCGCCAATGAACATCATGATACGAGCACCAGTGTTGGGAAAAGTACACTGTCAGAAAAAAGTAACTTGTCAAAAGAGTTTAAAGGAAAATACAAGATACACATTTCTTTTTTTTTAAATATTTTATTTATTTATTTGACAGAGAGAGACGAAGCGAGAGA